CGACAAAGTCGCGGCTGTGCAGACTGGACAGAGAACAAGCATGCATGAGAAAGCCTCTGCCTTCTCAGCGCCGGCATTCGGTTCGTGTGCGTCGCGAGAATCCACTGAGGCTCGGCTCTCTCGCTGTCTATGAAGGCTGAAGTTGGACTTCTCTCTTGACCGAACAGACCATGCCGTGATTTTTCTTAAAAACCTGGCATGCGAATCGCCGTGCGGCCGAAGGGGCATCTCAGCCGGGCTTGAGGCACCCTCGTGAATATCGCCCGTGTTGGCCCGGAGCGCTCCAGGCAGATCTTCCTTTCGATCAAAGACATCAGCACGGTTTTGTTCCTGATGTACTTGCACCCCCCCTGGCCTTGATGTTGGGCTGCTCGTCATCCAGCTCGGTGTCGGAAACGCATGCCTCAGGGCAGTGCTGGGAATGCGCTCCAGCCGCGGCGATGCAGGCAGTATAGACTCGCACGTGTCCTGCGGAGAGTCGTCGCCGTCGCTGGCGCGGGTACTCTCAGAAGCTGAAGATGCACCGCTTTCCTCTTCTTGTCCGCGCCTGGGCCCGCAGAAGCATCAGATTTGTGGTGCCCACCAACTCACATCTGAATTAGCGGGCTACAGCCGTAAGGCCGGACATGGGAGCTCTGCCGCTATGTGACCCCTAAATCAAACCAGAACTCCTGACCACGTTGCTGACAAGCCACATATGTTTCAAAACATGAGTCTGCAACCATACAAGGAAGCTTAGCAAGCCAGCCACTCATCGCCGCTTGTCGCGTGGGCTTCATGGAAAAATCAAGACAGGTACTCACCCCAGTCGGATTTGACATCCACCCCTTTAGATATCTAGTACGCATCTTAGTCTGCGCTCCGTCTGTGCTTCCTCCGCCCCTCCACATCTAGCTAGCGGTGCAGACAGGCCCCCTTCCTCCGATAAGGGAACTTGCAGCAGCTTTGGCTTGTCTGCAAGATGAAAGTCATGACCTCTCTCCGGATCTTGCGGGCAAGTTGCATCATGTCGGGGCAATGCTCAGCCTTGAGAGCACGCTCCTGCGTAGCCTGAGGGACGATGGCTGCATGTGAACGCAAGAGACAGAGAAACAAGCTGTGACGAGCGGAGCATTAAGGCCGGCCCTACACCCTACACCTGCCACAGATGACACGAGCCCTCAGAACCTTCAATGTGCCTAGGCATGCTCCCAGATGCGAAGTTGCTTCAAGCTCTATCACGGATGGACTTTGCATTGCGAACCCAACAAGGGCCACGTCTCCAACCAACTGCAGATGAGAAACTTCTTGCTCAGCCTGAAGTTCGCCGAAGCTTGCAAAACCTGAGCTCTGCTTGTCTTGCCATGTCCTCTCTGCTTGTAGTGATGGAGAAAACATCCATCCTTCATGCATGCTGTGGAAGCACGCAAGAATACAGCCGGACGACTGCAAAACGGAGCCCCGCCACTCGCTTCAAATCTTGCGACCAAGATGGGCACGCACATCAGCCAGGGCCACGAATCGAAGCAACTGCAGAGAAGCTCCTTGCGCAGCTTCTTGAAGTCAGTCCAAAGGGCTTCGTTCTGGCAAGCAAGACTGCTGCACCTGAGCGCGCCCGCTCCAAACTCTACCGTGAATCCGGCTGCTGTCTCTCTTCTCTGGTTGAACATCCTGGAACGAAACCATCCTGCACACAGATTGTGTACGTACGCATGTCAATTAGCACGCAGCTCTGAGAAGATGCGGAAACGGATCCCCACCTCACCTATCCTTCTGACCGAGATTCCACTCTCGTCGCGACCCGACAAAGGCCACGAATCCAGCCAACTGCAGCTGAGAAGCACGTTGCCCCGCATCTCGGCTCCAGCCCAAAGCGCACTGTTCTGATTGTGGAGACTGATGCACCTGAGGGCCGATTGAAGGTCTTGCCACGCTGTACCAAACTGCAAAGAAGTGGAAACATATCCATCCTTGACAAATTCGGTGTAAGCCCATTAGAGCACAGCTCGAAGACTCGGAAAGAAAGCCGCGTCACCTCTTCAAAGCTTCTGACCAAGATGGCACTTTCATTGCGAACCGAACAACGACCGTGACTCGAACCCAGTGCAGCAGAGAAACGCATTCTGTAGCATCTCGGTCTCGCTCCACTGAGCATAGTTGTCACGGCGAAGGTTGCCGCACCTGAGGGTCGTGTAATAGCTAGAACGAAGCCGAACCCACTGCATGTTGTGTGAGGATGCTAAAGTACAGCTCGAAGGACTCGTGAAGCAGCTCATCCTTCTCGGTGCTCAGCTTGCAGACCTGCTCGACCAGAGACCTGCAGCAGCTACACCTGAGTCGCTCGCGCGGGGCAAATGCCACATGTAGCGGGCTGGGCCCCGTTGTTTCAGCTCAGTCTCTCCCCACAGATAGTGTATTTGCCGAGGGGCCGGGCGTCATAAAGAACCGTCCCCGGCGTGGCAGACTGGCAGAGCCTCGTCCCAGTCGCAATGCCACTCCATGGCATCCACGACATCGCCAAGGATATTCAGAAACGTTGAGGCCTGTCGAAGCGACAATATCGTGTGCACCACAGAGTAGCGGTCTGTGGAAGTCTGCACTGCTATTGTAGCTCGATCACGAGGACGAGCACTGGTTTGGGCCACAGGAACAATTCCGCAAGCAGCAAAACCAAACTTGCAAAAGCTTCGAGGCTACCAAGGAAGCCCTGCCACGACTCTTGGGGCTTACGGCTGTTTAGGGATCCGGATTGCCTTCTGAGGTTTTGGGATTCAAGCTTCGTGTTTGCAAGGTGCAGGGAAAGGATATACTGCCACGGGATTTGGAGGCTTCGGGCTTTATGATTTGCTGCATCGGCTGCATCGTGGATAAGGGGTGCAGAGCACCGATATTTCCCCGCAACGCTCGATGACGAGATGTCTTTCATCTGACTGCGCATGGTTTTTGCAATCAGCTCGTTCACGAAGCAGAGTCCACCCACCGGCATAATTCTTACAAACACTGGGCCTGCACCTGAGGTGTTTGCTTCATTCCGCTCTCCGAGAGATCGGAGCTCCTTGCGACTCAAAGGACCGGAATCGATGGGAACGGGATGCCCGGCGCGCCACATTTTTCGGCCTCGCGAAGCTCCTCCTGCGCAAAGGACTGGCTCCTGCGGAACCCGACGAGACATGGCGAATCGATTCAAATGCTCGTGGCTTCGATGAGTTCCCGACTGGAGCTCTTCCAGCTGCCGTTGGCCACGGACGAGCTCCTCAAGACCGAACCCCAGAGCATCTCACAGATCCGGAAAAGCTCTTGTGCCGGACTTCTCTCAGGCCTTTCATTGGCGGCATCTGCGAGTCTGTGAGTCTGAGGTTTTCCGGTGCACAGTGCACAGGGTGCCCTCCTTCTTCGCCGCCGCCATCTCCGTCTCCATGGCGTTCGACCGGCCTGCAGGCAGGACAGGCTCCGGGTCTTCAGGATGACTGCAGTTGGCTGCAGGCACGTGCCAATGCTTTTGGAAGGGCGCATCGGGGCGC